AGCTACCTGGGTGTAGGGGTTGGTTGCTACCCATAGCTAATGTTATGGCAGGGTCGTATCTGCTACCATGTCCTACCTGTCAACGACTACTTCGGCTTCAATCACAACAACACACCCGCACGCAATCGATACAAACTCAAGGTAAACCGCTCCAAACCCGATTGCAGAAAATACGACTTCAGCAACAGAGTGGTCAACGCCTGGAATGCTCTACCTGACTCCGTGGTTACATCCTCAAATCCCCCACCCAGCTTTAACCTTAGGCTGTCCACCGTGGACCTCACCCCATTCCTAAGAGGTCTGTAAGGGGGCGTGCATAAGCGCACCAGCCTGCCTACCGTCCCTGTCCTACTGTCCCCGTTTATTTGTACTCATTTCCTTTATTCACAGCCACGTTCCTACTTACGCCTCCTATCTTGTGCATATTTGACAAACCAAACCAAATAAAAATAAAATAAAATAATCACCTCCCCGGTCGGATTTCTGCCAACTTAGCCCCCTTTTTAATTCCTGCCGGCAGAGGTCCCGAGGCTGAAGAGTTAAACTGACCGAGATCCACTTCCCAGAAAGGGAGGAGAGAAGCCATTGGAAGAAGTTGCGCGCTTGTCACTTTGGGCGGCGTTTCCTCTTCCTCTCCGCTTGGGGTGGGGGAGCGTGCAGCTGGGCTTCCAGAAGCCGAGGGGGGAAATCCCCCCCCCTCTCTCGAGCCGTGACGCCGGAAAGCCCGGGTAAACGGACAGCGGTGGAGGGGTAGGTGGTGGGAGAGATGCCCTTTGCAGCAACGCGCGCCTTTGCAAAGAAACCCAAAACCCCGGGGGTGAAAAAAGCGGCGCGCGAGACCCTTGTAAGCGTGGAAGGGAGACGGGGGAGCCCTTCTCGGCCCTTTTACACTTCCCCACGCACACCTTTGCACCTTCAAACATCCACCCACCCACACGTTGCATACACGGCGGTGTTCTTCTCCGGAGGCCATTTAGCAAAGGTTAAGGCATCAACCCTGCCAGGCGCGATCCGCCAAGCCGCAGCTCGCCAGAGGTTAGCTGTTAACCACATCACCCATCATCCCCGGCCGGGGATCAGGGGCTGAGACCCGCGCGGGAGCAAATAATAATAGTAATAATAAAAAACCCAGGAGCGGGTCAGTTGCCCTGCTCTGGATTTGGCTGAGTGGCGGGTGTCACAGGGAGGGTTTGAACTAGCTGGCATCTACAGTCCCCTTTCTAATTCATTTCCTGTATTTTGTCGCCAGGCTGCAGGGAGAAACCTGAAATACTTAAGTAGGCAGGAGAGGCTCTTGGTAAAAGGTCTTCCTTGCCTCAATCGAAAATTAAAACTTTGCTTTTTTTGTTTTTAGGAAACTGCTCCCAAACATATCCTTAACCTGGTGCCTTAACAAATAATAGGCACCCAGCCTCTCTATTCTAGTTAGAGGAACTAAAGAAGGCGACTGGAAATCTTTGGATAACCTTTGGCACCGGAAAGATTAAAATGTTTTTTGGTTTTTTTTGTATCCTTTGGGGAACTAAATGTTCCTTTTGGTCCCTCTCTGTGAACTTGGGCAATAAAGTCGGTAATTCTTTGGGATATTACTTACTTTGTCTGTTGCAACCATTGCCAAGGGGGAAAACTCATTCTATTGTGGTAGACAAGGTGGCCCCACCCAAGAGGAAAATAATAAAAGTGTGGGTTGTATTAATAAAAGGTTGGGTAGTAACAGCTGGAAGTAACCGCAAATAGTGGCTTCACGGGATGGCTGCGTTAATTTTTATCTAGGTTTTTCTCCTTGGCAATTTGGAGAGGTATGGACATCATCTCCCAGAATTCCCCAGCCAGCAAATTTGCCAAGGTTAAGAAGCACTTACTTTGCTAGTTCTTTTCTTGTTTGAAAAGAACTGAAAAGATATTACTAAATACACTTACAATCTCTGTAATCCCTTACAAAGATAAAACTTTAGATTCCGTTTTTACAAGCATTAACACCACTTTGGCAAGAAGCAATAGATACGAAAGGGCTACACTGCTGCTGAACCTGGAAGCTTGATTTTATTAGCAGGAACATTAGGCTTGTTTTTTTTGCTTTGAATCTGTCTGTCTGTCTGTCCGTCCGTCCGTCCGTCCGTCCGTCCGTCCATCCATCCATCCATCCATCCATCCATCCATCCATCCATCCATCCATCCATCCATCCATCCATTTATTTCTACATCTATCTCTATCTCTATATTCTAGGTTTAGCAGCAGCATAACACTAAGCATCTATTGTTTCTTGTCAAAGTTGTGTTTATGCTTGTGTGTGTGTGTGTGTGTGTGTGTGTGTGTGTCTCTCTAATATATAATTTTAAAAGACAATATAGCCTAATACAGGTAGTCCACAACTCACAACCACAATTGAGCCCAAAATTTCCGTTGGTGAGTGAGACACTTGTTGAGCTTTGCCCTTTTTGTGATCTTTATTGCTACAGTTGTTAAGTGAATCGCTGCAGATGTTAAGTTAGTAACATGGTTGTGAAGTGAATCTGGCAAGCAATCCTCATTGGCTTTGCTTGTCATAAGGTTGCAAAAGATGATCACATGATCCCAGACCAGGACACTGCCACTCTCATAAATATGAATCAATTGCCAAGTGTCTGAATTTGATCCCATGACCATGGGGATGCTGCAGTGGTCTTGGGTGTGAAAGATGGTCATAAGTCACTTTTCCACCCCGCTGCTGTTGTAACTTCAAACATTAAATGAACTGCGGACTACCTGTAATGTTAGCTAGCAATTTGTGCTTACACACCCTGGCTGTGATTAGAGCTGATAAATTACGGGTGGATAATTTGGCCTAGAGATATGTACATGTTTTTTTCTTTTCTTTTAATGATCCTGTAATCCCTTGGATCAGTGTGGAATCAGGGCGAGGAATCAATGGAGCTGAGCATTTACTGGCTGAATGCCCTTCCTGACGCCTGTCTGACGTTCACAGCAGATATTTTCTCTTTGAGCCCAGAGACAGAAATATCTGCCTAGGATTACCTAGGCTCTCTCTCAGTCTCCTAACTGTGTGTAGAGAGCTCCACCTATAGGCCACTGTGCCACACACATGTTTATTTCACACCTATTTATCTACGCTGGCCTTTCCAATTAAAAATGCTTCCAAACTTGTGTTTCTCTAGGAGGTGAAGGAAGCTGGTCATGAGACATAAAATAATGACGGAGAAGGGGAAAAACCCAGACGCAAAATCGGAAAGAGAATTGCAAGAAGGGCTCAAAGCTGGGGTGACCCAAGGGAAGACAGGGAGAACGACGAAAGAGCTCCAAGCTGGGAATGCAGAAGGTTTTGCAAAAATGGGGGGCTCCCGATCAGCCAAGAGCGAGGCAGGTGATCGGCGGTTGAAATATTTGGATCCCCGGGCTGCTTTGAAGGCAATGCAGTCCTCCAAGCAGGAGGAACCGGTTTCTGAACCGTGGGAGAACGCCAAGGCATGCTTGGCTTCCTTGGAAGGAGCAGCTGAAACCTACTGGAGATACAAAGGATTGGTGGATCTCAGCAGAGAAACTCAAAGGGAGAACGAGCAGACTAACGCTGCCAAGGTGAACGACTACTGGAAGGTGGGCGAGGACGTCCTGAGAGAGGATTCGGCGGCCACCGACACCCAGCGAGCCCTTTTCAGAGAGTTCTGTTACCAGGACGCTGAGGGTCCCCGTGAAGCCTGCAGCCGTCTCTGGTACCTCTGCCACCGGTGGCTGAAGCCGGAGAGGCACACCAAGGAGCAGATCCTGGAGCTGGTGATCCTGGAGCAGTTCCTGGCCATCCTGCCCTCCCATCTCCAGAGGTGGGTCAAAGCTGCTGGGCCTCACACCTGTGACCAAGCGGTGGCCCTGGCTGAAGGCTTTCCCTCAGGACGGCCACAGGAGGTGAGACTTTAGAGAAAGCGAACTTTACAATGGGGAGGGGGTCCAAGAATATGGAGGGAGGGGGAAGTTATCCATTCCAGGAAGACCAGACTAGGAAACCAAAGTCATACAGGCCAATATGACTTTTATTATAGATCTGGTAATAAAATCTTGCAAGTCTTGAACGTGCCTTCTCCTCTCTCCCTTTCACTTTGTGAGGGTCAGGGTTCTGAGTAATATACCCACAGCAAACAGAACTCTGAGGCAGGTAGATTCCTCAAAGAACAGTTTTATTGGATACCCTGTTTCCCTGAAAATAAGACCTCCCCGGATAATAAGCCCAACCGGGCTTTTGAGCGCATGCGCTAAAATAAGCCCTCCACAGAAGCAGCAGCCATGAGGTGACGACACTTGCCGCCTTCTGAACTTCAAAAATAATAAGACCTCCTCGAAAATAAGGCCAAGTGCTTATTTCGGGGGCAAAGAGAAAATAAGACCCTGTCTTATTTTCAGGGAAACATGGCATATCATATTGGCACAGACTGGTGAAAATCAACTCTAAAGATCCCCGCAGTTTTCACCTAATTGAAAGTAAAAGTTTTCCCCTTTTCCCAAACAAATAGTCACATGGTCCAATCATGGTGCTGTCCAGTTGCTTGGCAACATCACTCCTCCTTTCTTCAGCCACTCGTTGGAATGTCCTTGGTTCCCAAGGGAAAGTATTTTGTTTTGGCTACAAACTTCCAGCTATCTCTATTCCTCCCTCCCTAATCCTCCTCTCCATTGTGGCAACACTGATGACCTCAGTCAGGCCAGCTTCAGAGTTGACAGTGAGAACTAGAGAGAGTGTTGTCTGAGACGCTTTCTCAGGTTACACTTCTGGCCAGGACTTCAGTTTCTTTTATCGGACTGTTGCCTTGGTAGTGGCTGTTCCTCAAGCTTATTCCTTTTCTCCATTACAGATAGTCCTCAACTTAACAACCATTTAGTGACCATTTGAAGTTGCAATGGCATTGAAAAAAGTGACTCATGACCATTTCCCACACTTAACAACAATTGCTGCATCCCCATGGTCACATGATCCAAATTTGGGCGCTTAGCAACTGGCATGGATTAATGACAGTTGGACTGTCCCGGGGTCATATAATTAGCAATAGCAATAGTACTTAGACTTATATACTGCTTCACAGTGCTTTCCAGCCCTCTCTAAGCAGTTTACAGAGTGGTTTACAGAGTCAGCCTATTGCCCCTAACAATCTGGGTCCACATTTTACCCACTTCGGAAGGATGGAAGGTTGAGTCAATCTTGAGCTGGTGAGATTTGAACTGCCGAACTGCAGCTAGCAAGAGAGCTACAATTCTTTTAACTTTTGGTGTCACTTTAGATATCAGTAAAATCTTCTATATATATAAAAATGGCTGTGTGTGTGTGTGTGTATGTTCCAGCATAATTCTGGAACGCCTCTAGCAATTTCAACCAAACTTGGTACACAGATGACTTACACTCTGAAAGAAAATATTGTGGGGATAAGACACCCCTAACAGTGTGTGTTCTGTTAAGATACAGCCTGTTGTGCCTTAAAATGGCTTCTATTGTACAACACAGTGGAGTTGCCATGGTAATAGCTTCACAGTATTCCACAAGCGGCCCCCCCTCTGGTAAGGGGGAAAATCCAACATTAGAAATTATGTTTGATCTGGACATTTTTAACACGGTGGTATAATTTTTCTTGACGTTTCTAGGGGCACAGGGAAAACATTTTTAACTAATTTAATTGTCCCCAAAATCAGGGCTCAGGGAGAAGTTGCTCTTGCCATTGCCTCTTCACGAACTGTGGCAATGTTAATAGAAGGAGGCAGGACAGCCCATTCCACACTTATAACTCATTTATTTTCCTGTCTATTACAGGATTGGGATAAATAAACATCCGGGCAACGCCGGGTTATCAGTTAGTGTGATATAAAAAAGAAAAATAGGTGGGGAACTATGTCCTTTTTATGACTTTGGACTTCAACTCCCAGAACCCCTGAGCCAGCCATGCTGGAATTCTGGGAGTTGAAGTCCACAAGTCATAAAGGGGCCATTGTTTCCCACCTCTGTTTTAAGGAATGTGAGCCCTCTTTTCTTTTTGAAGAACATGTGTGATCTCCGGATGTGATGTGTCTTTTTGTGGGGCAAGAAACTGGCATCCTCGGTTTGCGAAATCTCCCCAACCTATTTTCTCTTCTGTTTCTTGTTGCTAAAGATAAATTTTGGGGTTCTTTCAGGGACCAGGTTTGGTGCAGGAGGTGACTGTGGGGTTTTCCACGGCCGAGCGGCCTCCGTCAGGGGCTGGAGAGAGACAGCCCAGTTCCATCGGGGTCAAGGAGGAGCAGGACAGTGGCAGTGACTCAGAAGGTAAGGGCTTGTGGTATGCTGCTGCCTCCAAGGTGCCTGGATTTTCAGAAGTTGTTTTACGTTGAACATCAGCCCTTTGGAGTAGGCCACGTCAAGAAACAAATTGCAGGATTCTTGTAGGTGTTCTGACTGAGGCTTCCCAAGAGCATGAAACCAACTCCTTGTCCCGGCAAAAAAACCCTTTTATTAATTTACTGTGAATTCTGCTCATTCACATCTAGAAAAATCTCTCAAGGGAGGATTTACAGTCACAGACTTTATCTGGTTTGGAGAGATGACAGGCCGATATCTGCAGAACTTGGCAAGGAGCCTCGGAGAGTCACTAACCAATTAAATGAACTAATTGTCTCCTGCAAACTCCCCTTTCGCTCCTCTTTTATTTCCTCTGGGAGGGGGAATTCATCGTCCACCTGTGGCCTTACTCCCAAGTTGACCCCTGTTCTTTAGCTGTTCCCTTTGTCTGGCCACTCTGCGCATGTGCACACTGGGAACAGGCTCCAGCTGTTCGTCTGCCTCAATGATGTCTGACTCTGAAGGCAGCTCATAACTGGCATATAGCTCTGTGAACCCCTCTCTGCCTCCGAC